ATAAAATTATTGTCAGTCAAAAAAGTTTGGCAAATGTTTTGCAGCAGGAAAAAATAGCTGTGTTGCACTCCTCAAAACCTACAGGGAAATGATCAATAGATGGGTGAACTTCAGCTCTAAGCTCACAACTATTCTTTCAGAATTCAGTCAGAGACCCAGGTTATGCCAGAAGTTGAACACTTATTACCGATTTTACAAGTGTACTGGTCTGTCCATCTGTGGGAGCTTAATCCAAAATGCTTTTAACAAAGAATCCCTTTGACTGTGCAGCATAGTGGATCCTAATCCTTGAAATTTAAGGGTTGAGAATTTAGACTCAAAAAGGGATTAGTTCTAGATATGGGCAACACATAAGTTTATCCTGGTTGACACCAAGACAATTTTAATTGGTGTGTTCATGTCACAGTGCAAGGCTTGAAGTCTCTCCCAGAGGCAGCATCTGACCTGGAGCTGTGGTTGTCACCCAGGGGTCCTTGTGCCACTGCCCATGGTCCCCCTGACCAGTGGCACTGAGCTGGCACAGGGTGAAGAGCAGCTCTGATTTGGTCAAACATGCACAGTCATAGGCAGAGTCTTATTGCTCACAGAACTGAGATCAGCACCTCCCTTGCTCTTTTGTGAGGCCCTGTTTTGACAAGTCTGATTTCTGCAGCAAAGCCCATTCAGGGAGATTTTGTGCTGTTTCACTGCCCCTTTGTTCTAACACAAGGCTCAGTTATTAACTTTGTACTGTAAACCCACAAGAAGTTGTGTAGGCGAAATATTGGGGGAACTCTAAACTAACCCTGCTGCCAGGAGATATGAACTGCACCTTCAGGATGTGGTGGGAGCAGGAGCAAGAGGCTGATGCCCCCCAAAATCATGTTGGATGCAGCTATGACTGGAGCAAGCACACTGTAAAAGAGTTGCCTGAGGACAGAAGAGTCTTTTCTTTTGTGTTTCTTTATTTAGCATTGTTTCAGCAGATTTTCAGCATCGTAGATGTGCTAGAATTGTACCTCTGAATTGTTTACCATCACTTGTTTTCACAAGTCATTTATTACTACATTTTATTACTCTTAGTGCTGTTTTTTTAAAGCAGGAGCTGTAGGATAATGATCTGGTTTTACGTGACTGAGACGCGTAAATAGCAGAGCATAAATATTAAATGTTTCCATTTATCTTCTCAGAGTGTTCACACTTAGGTTGTTCCACTTAACAAGCCTTAAAATAACCACTCTAAACAGTTCCCTTTCAAACAAAAGAGAAATACATGCAAATTAATCCCTGCAGCAATTTTTATAACAAACATTAAAACATTTCAGGGAGTATAGACTGCAAGCATATACTGAACGATGGGCCCTTAAAAATAAGTGCCTACTGACCTTGTAAGATATAATTGGGCTTTTGAAACATCTTAGGGACTCAGCCAAAACACACTGCAGTGCATTAGCTATTAAAAAACCCGAGCTCATTAAGCTGGCAAATTGTGTATGAGACCATCAGGCAACTTCAGCAGTATCCAGCTCATGTAGAACGTGGGATCAGGACCCCACTGCACAAAAATATCATGAAATAATGACATTTCATGGGAAATACAGTCCCTACAGCTCATGTGTCCTCGGGTCAGGCCCTGAGTAATTCCTGTGCTTTCTGCCTGTGTTTTGCACTTACTTTGGTGTCTTATCTGTTGACATCCACAGCCAACAGTGCCAGGTCACTCCGTGGCAGTGCCAGGTAAGGCCCGGGATAGAACTTCTCCTGCTCAGGTTTGTCAGCAAACAGGTGACACCTGATGCAGTGGCCCAGGACATAAAGAGAGCTGTGTCCCTAAAGGCTCCTCTCACAGCCCTGGAACTGCTGTATCTGGGAGCTGCAAACCAAGGGAGGAACCTTCAACTGCTCTTCACCTTCCACTCATGTGTGCTGCCCCAGCTTGAAGAGTTACTCCTTGGTCATGTTTATTTTCTGCCTCTTGTACTTGCTGTTCAGTGTTGCTGGGCTGCTTTTTCACAGAGGCATCGAAAGCTCAGGCACTTGAGAGGAACCTCTATTTTTATTAATGCAGCTCAATGTGGTGCAAGAGTGGGTGGAGGAGCTGAAGGGCAGCTTTGGTTTTGGCATATTACACACTCAGTGAGTAAAGGTGCCCAGGGGGGAGTGGGAGACCAGTTCTGGTTTACTGCAGTTACAAACAGGGGCCATAACACCTTAGCTGAAGAGGACAATACTGCCTCATTCCAAGAGGAATCCTGCCTCTCCTGAGCAGGCAGATGGGGTCAGTCTCAGGTGTCCCAGGAGAGCTTTCTCTTGACTTGAGCCCTTTGTGATGTTGAGGGTCACCAGGGAGAGGGGACTCCATGGCTGGTACAGTTCTGCAAACTCTCTCACATGTGGAGAAAACAAACACCAATAAGCAGTATTCTGGAAATAAAGACAAAAGAACATAGAAATGCCATAGAAAATAATGGTTTAAATGGATAATACTCAATTTGCCCTGGACAGCTGTTGTAGCTAGGTAGTACCCTATTCTCCAACTTCAAACTCAAATGAACTCACCCAGCAGCCCTTCTTAATTTTGCACTTACCTTTAGTAAAAGCAGATATGAGGTCTTAATCAAGGGCAATCAAGGGAGCTCTGCACAGATGCCAGCTGGTTCACACAAGAGCAAAGCAGGTCACTGCCCTCCTCTCTGGGTGGAAATAATTTTCTTCAGCTGTGCTGCAGCAGTAACAGTCCTTGGCCTTTCCACACTGGTGAGTAAGGGCCTGCAGAAACTTGGGAGCAATATTTATAAATGGATCTTGTAGGTCACTGACAACAGCAGGGAAAAAAACATGTTGGCAATCTGTTCTTAATTCTATTTTAAGATGCCATGACTTCTTCAATGGCAGGTACAACAACCAAGCCCTGCAAGGCTGGAGGCAAAGGTCAGTGCACAGGATAAATTGGAGGCTGTTCTCCTTACACTTGTATGATAAAACTTGGGAAAGCTGCTGTGGTGCAGGTCCAGATGATGACCCTTTGCACACTCCTGCTATGACTCCTTTTTCATATTTTGGTGTTTGCTCAGTATTGTCCCCATTGCTGCCTCCACTTGGCAGCCCACCAGGCTGCAAGGCAAGAGGTGTCTTTTCCTGAGTGTGGATTATGTTATTTCCTGCCTTGTTCAGCCTCCTGTGTCCTCTGCATCAGTCCTGAAATAAATTTCATTAAGTCAAACAAGATTTACTGTTTATGTAGACTTGTTTTTAACAGCTTATATATCTTAGTGTTGTGGTTTCATCTCTTATTCATGTGCCAGTCCAGCCAGCTACAAGACACAAACTTCTCCTTCTCTGCTTGTTTAGTAACTCATCTGTTTTCTACAATGAATACAGCCACTGGAGACCCTTGACATTATGCCCCCAATTTCTTCCAAAAGCACTTGAGCTGTTTTTCCACCCGATTATATATATGTATATATAGGTACTTGGGTCTGTAGTATGGAAAAAAGTTTTAGGAAACTGCTTTCTAATGGAGTGATTGAGCAGACAAATGCCATAAACAGTTTTCATTATTAAAATGTGTTTTCAATTAAAATGCAGTATCTGAACAGATAATTAGAATGGTATAATGTTGGGATATTGAATGCACTTAATCCAGATTAGGGGTGCAAGAGAAAAGGCAGTCTCAGATGAGCTTTATTCTCTTCAGTTATTTCCTGTATTACAGGTATAAGACAGAAACAAGGACAAACAGTAATTTACTGTCTAGATCCTGCTGTAGTTGCAGGTAACCCACCAGGGGCAGAGGCACCTGCTCAGCAGCAGCACAGGAACCGAAGAGGTTTTGTTGTGGGCACAAGGTGGAAGATAACTTTCATGGCCATGTTGTCAGCTGAACAGAACTCCTCCTCCTAACCCTGTATTTTGGCATGGAGAAAGGTTAGAACAAGAGAATGCAGGGAGCAACCTTAGCATAAGGCTGCTGGGAAGTCAGGGCTATAATATGCAATTCTTTGAAAAATGTGGGTTTGGTTTTTTTATAAATATATAATCACATGTAATCCATCCTCAGCTGTTAGGGAATTAGGGGGGAAACCAATTGCTTTTGTTTTGGGGTGTGGCCATTGGGAAATTTAGACTGAGTTTGCAAGTCATACAATTAATGAAACATTCACTATGAAGAGCACTCTGATTTCACAGGTGCAGAGATTATAAAGCCAAGATGCACCATTCTGGTGACTGAGCTGATGTGCCCTAAATCCTCACGAGCAGGTCCAGATTAATCAAGGAAGATAAGGGAATATAATTTGCCAAATTAACAAAATCTCCTGTGATTAAACTGGCCCAGCTCTGGACATATGTTATCTATGCTATAAACAAATATTTAACTTACCCACTTGTCTCTGCAAGGTGTACAAAGAACAAAGCTGCACAATGGAGAGTTTGTGTGTTGTTCCAAGAACTTCTACCTGTAATTGCAGTTATGGTGAGATCCTGCTATGATCACTGACTAGGGAATGCAACAACGTGAGTTTTTCCCACTCTTGCCATCCCCTGGGGACCAGGAATCCCAGGAACTCTCCTGTCCACTTGTGTCACTGTGTGACTCCATCAGTGCATTTCCTGGAGACTCTTTTAGTGTGGACTTTGCAAAGCAAGATGTTCAACTGATGTTCTTTAATTACTTAGAACTGTGGATCATGTACATGCAAATAAGGATGAATTCCTGTGGACTTGTTATTCTGTAAGAGACTGTTGCAGTATTTGTCTTACATGCACATGATCTACGGTCTTTAATGTCTGATATTTTGTGAGAATACATTTAGAAGCAGCAGCTGAAAATGCAGACACTGCTGTGTCATTCCAACATTGCTGAAAAGAACTCTTACAATGTCTATGTGACTCATGTCTCAGGTGATGTCACGGGATGTCTGGAAAACAGATTTTGAAGCAGAAGCCTTTTTGTGTTGCATTGGTTCAATTTTGTTTAAAAAATGTATTATATACATGCGATGTATAATGCACCCACACACTTTATTAAATCAGAAAGTAGAAATAAGGGCAGAGAAAGGATGATCAAAGGAGTAAAAGAGAAGTCTGAGCCATGTGAGTCCATGGATTCCACACAATGTGCCTGTAATTCATATTAGCATTTCTCAAATTACAAATATAAATTACATGTCTAAGAAATCTCTTCCAAAGCTGATGAACAGAAATGGATGCAAAACAAGTCATGAATTCTTCTTATTTGACAACATGAACAAATGAGGGAAGGAGTAATGTGCTGCCTACCTTTGAATCTCTGACTGTGACTGATCTTTCAAGTGAACAGTTTTGGATTAGCAAAAAGAACAAGCCAATATGTGTTAGGCCAACATGCATAATCCTGCTCCCAGCACCCAAACCTGTGAGTGCACTCCTGGAAAGGAGCTGGGAATGCAGCCTCTCTGACACCAGTGAATCTGATGCTCAGGTGTTAAAGCCACGGAGTTTCTCAGATGGGATGCTCAGCTCCTTCCAGTCCTGATCTTGGAACTGTTCAGGGTTGGGCTTTTGGAGTGCTTGGTGCTATTTCTCTTTAGGAATGAATCATGCATTTCACTCATTGTCTAGAAGGAAATGTGGTCCCAGTGCTGTTGTTGCCCTCACCCAGACACATCCCCTCAGTCAGTGACATCCAGCAGTCGTTGCTGGCTCGAGGTGATTTGAGTCCCAGCCTTTGTCCAGCTCTGCCAGCCCAGTGTGCCACAGGCAAGTGTTGGAATTACAGCACATATGGTCCCTTCATTCACAACGGCAGGAGCAGCTTCCCCATCTGCTGTCACAGCGAGGTGTGATTCAGAGGCTGCAAAAAAACATTCATGTCCAACTTACTTGGAGGGTTTTTTTAGGTGAATTGGCTGGTGACATCACCCAAGTGTGAATCACTGCAGAGAAGAAGCTCCTGGAGCAGTAAATGGCTGGTGCCTCTGTGCTGGAGTGAAGAGCTCTGGTCATGCAAACACCTCGCTGGTTTTGGGATTCTTCCCCACTGTCTCTGATTGCAAAGCAGTTTTTGAGGGGGGGGAAGTCACAAGGAAGTTTTGATGTTTGTGACACTCAGTGTAACAAGATTTCCTGGCTGCAGCACCCTGGACATGCACAAAACTGAGGCAATTTCTAAGGGTAGCTGCTCCAACCAGGCTGCCATGAGTGCATTTTGGAAACAGGGGGAACTGCTATTAAGGCTTTAGCCCAGCAAGAGTCATTTATTTTTTCTTTGTGTGCATCCATCCTGTTTTTAATGATATAATGCTGTGACATAAGGAGATACTTTCTCAGTTTGGTTCCAAAACAGCAAACTTCATTTTAAAACAAAGGAAAAGACCACAGAAGAATACTTGTTTTGTGTGGAAGAAAATTCTTTTCATCACACTGCTGTCATAGGTTGCAACACGTTTTCTCTGTTGTAATCAGGAATAGATTTTTGCAGAATTAAACAACCATATCAAAGGTTTCTAATAATCCTTGCAGTGCCCACAGTGCCACAGAGTGCTCTCCACTGGTCTGAGCATGCAGGTAGCCAGCCTTTCCAGTAATAAATGACCCACAAAGGAGAATTTCATGGGAAAAATATTTCACAGGTGCACTGGTTAAATCTAAGCCATTTCCATGGACAAGTGGAGGCAGAGGTTACCTAACACAGAGCAGGTCTGTTCTGCCAGTCATTTATGCTTCTTTACCAACGTGCACCTTATACCCCTGTGCCACCTCAGGGTTTGGGGGCTGTCAGGGCTGCTGGCCCTAAAGACAGAGGGGTGGGAAGATGCTGTTTTCTGCTGCTAACCCCAAATCCTTTCTTGCCTCAGTCCTGAGCAATGACCTGCCCTGTCCAGGTCCTGTCCAAGCCTCTCATGGCTTGAACGCAGTGCCCAGCAATGGCAAACTGGGTCAGTAACTCCCATTCCCACGAGCAGCTCAGAGTGAAATACAGTGGGGAATTATATTGAAGTTCAGTTACTATTTTCAGAAGTAAAAGCACCTGGCATGCAGCTCTACATCTGTACTGTCATTTATAACTTCATGTTGGGCAATGCCAACTTTCATTTCCCCTTAAGAGGATGAAAGACAGAGTCAAATTAGGCTGCTTTCGAGTTGTCATCAAGCACTAATGGTCACCATGTGCTCTTGTGCCACCATAGTTGCAAAGGGATCCAAAGCTGGTTCGTCCTCAGCGAAATTTTACTGACAGGAATGAAGGGGTAGGACCCAGCTGGGGCTGACATGCCACAGACAGGGAGTGGGAAAGACATGAAGGGTTTCCTGATGTTTTCTCTTGCAAGATATGATTTTCAACTGCTAATAATTTTTCCTGAATTTTAACAAAAAATCCATCTGCCTTGTCTACAGGAAAGAGGTTGATTTCTTGGGTTTGTTTTAATTTTATTGTCCTGTTCATGTATAAATCTAGGCAATTACAATGTTTGGCCTTTGTGTAAGAAATTCCAGCTACCTTTTTCTTGAACTACTTTTGTGCTTTGAAGCCATGATGACTGAAATGGAGCAGGAGCTTGGAACAGGGAACATTGGGAGAGGACCTGGGTAGAATAACATTCTTGGCCATTAGCTTTTAGTTGGATTTTTTTTAAAATGTTCCATCTTTTGAAATGATTTTGCACTCTCTGTATTGTGATGTTGAAAGCTGGATGACTGTGTGTAACACATGCTTTAAAACCATCTTAAAAATGATTGTTTGCAGATGAAATAACTTTTACAATTCTTGGAATTGTTTTGCACAGCAGCTCCATCATAGCAGATTGCTGTGCTGGGTTGGAAGGATGCCCACTTCTTTTACCTGGAATTAGATGTCCAGAATATCTGAAAAAGAGTAAATTAGTGTCTTAGGTGGGAGGAAGTTGAATTAGGAGGCTTGTAAAGGAAGGAGCTGTACTAACCAGTCTAGACAAAGAAACATCAGTGCTAACAACCTTTGAGTACAGGATATAGATGTGGTAAGGTACACAAAGAGGTGTCCTGCTTGTCCTGGACAAGAAAATAAAAATTGAGATTTCTTTTTTTTTTAAGTTCCTTTGTATGGTATTCCCTTGTATTCAGTCCTATTAACCAGAGTTTGTCTACTTTGGAAAGAATCTGTGCTCTGGAGTTAATGTTGTTTGGGTTCACGTTACCAAAACAAATAAAAATCATTTCAGCTGTAGTCTGTGCAGAAAGAGATTGTGCAGTAGCTCATTGATGCTTGTGTGTTTGCTGGCAGGTGCCAAAGCACCCACAAATTAGTTACTGCCTCAGTTTTGGTCAGAATTCTAGATTGGTGCTTTTACAACATAAGCAACATTTTCACTCCATTTGAGGTTCGGAATAAAAAAGGAAACACTGATGTGCTTTGCTACCAAAAAAACAGTAGGTTTTAAGGTTAACCACAAGTGCCATAAGAGCTTTCAAAGCACCAACCTCTATTTCCTCTTTCCCAAATGGCAGAATTCAGATGCTACTGTGAAGAGCTCAGCCTCTTGTGTTAATGTGACAATCTCTCCAGGATCATTACGGAAACAAAGATCACTTGTCCTTTTGAACAGGATTATTTCTCAAAGATCTTCCCTTATTGATTTTGGCTCTTATATTCCTGTGACAGTGAGGTGTGTGAATATGGGTATAACTAAAAAAGGCTAAACAATCCAGCACTGACACTATTCTCACATTGCAGTTCCTGCCAGGACAGCCTTTATGAAGGATGTTTGGGATTTGGCAGTAATTATTTTATTTCTCTACTTCCTGATACAGTGCTGAAACTTTCCAAGAACTCATGGAATAGATACATAGTTTTTACTAGAAATATTAGTGAACAAGTAACATTGATAAATCCTTCCACAGCCCACACTGTTACACAGGTAACTAATATTTCTGCTCCAGCTGCCCCAAGACTGATCTGTAAGGATCCCCTGCTGCATTATTGTCAGCACTGCCCAGGACATCCACTGGCAGGCACTGCTCAGACTCACACACAAGGTTTCCCTGGGGGTGGAATCTCCTTTTCCCTCTCTTCGGGCAGGGCACAGTTCCCAGTGCATTCTGTGGGTGTGTGCATTGCTCTCCTGCTGAGAACCTCATTTGTTCCGTAAATAGCAAATGGAGCCCGGGGAGGGTTTGGCATGTGCTCTCCAGGATAATTAAGATAGGACAAAACTGTTAAAAGGAAGATGCATTTTCACCACAAAGCTCCAAGAATTCAGAAGACTGACATTTAATGAGGTTTCTCTCATTCCAGAGAAAAAGAACCCTGGAGTCACCAGGTGAGTTTAGTAGACAGAGCTGTGCTCAGTTCCCAAAGGGGAAAACTCAGCAGGATGCAGTTACAGAGAAGAGACAAGGTTATAGTCCTATTTTTTCCTCAGGCCCTTTTTCTTCAATTCTGGATGTTGGTTACACTTTATTTAATGTTTTTAGTATTTTTTCAGATATCACAATTAAGGATTAAAACCTTCCAATTAAGTAAAACACCTTCATTCCCTCTATCAAGCCTGTGTCCTCCCCAGATAAATATTACTCTGAAGGAGAAGAAAAAACAGCAAAGCCATTGGAAGAGTATCTCCCACCTATGCAAAACTGGCTACAAATGAAAGATCCAGATCAGTGGTAAGGACAATTTCTCTAAATACCACAATAATTTGATGGACACTTATATTTCCAGCTGCCTTGGATGTGGTGATTTACTTTCAGACATGCCTGGCTTGTGTCAAGACAGAACACAAACCACAGTAAAACTGTAGAGACAGAATAGAATTATGAGTAACTTTGGCTTCCCAAACACTAAAAGAAAGCCAGCATTTATCTCAGATGTTAAATGAGATTACAATAATATAATCATCACTCTTTAAGGGCTGCTGTATAAACACAGATCAAATAAACACAGGCATGTTTTGAAGCAGTGCCCTGTGCTGCACTTTGGTGTCTGCTGAGTGACTGTATTTGTGATTCCCTGTCTTTGTGTCTGTCTGAAAAACAGATTTGTGAAAAAGTGGAAAACAACTGCTTGTTTACTTCCCTAGTTAGTTTAGCCAAATTTTAACAGCAGTTACATAGAAACTTGGAATAATAGAATGGTTTGGGTTGGAAGGGACCTTAAAGATCATCTAGTTCCAAGCCCCTGCCATGGGCAGGGAACCTCAGCCATAGTTTTAATAGCAGTTACATGAGCACTTGTGTCTCTGTGGGCCTCCTTTTAAACTAACCTCTTGCAAGGTAAGTGATGGGTCCAGGGACTCCAGAAGAACAGTGTGGTGCTGGGGATCATCCCTCTTTCAGGCAGTATGAGACCTTGGTTATCCTTTTTTTGCCTGCAGCTCTCCTCCTGTCACCCAGAGACACAGGAATTCATCTTTTTATCTTTCAGTGGCAGGATGACCTCAATGGTTTTCCCCTGTGGAACTTTTTTTTTCCTAAAAATGTGAGTGATATGTTGATCAGAGGGAGGAAACTGGCTCTCTCTTTCTTAGGAAGTTAAGAATTTATCCTTCAAATTCTACACTTCAGAAATCTGAGCCTAGCTCACTGAATAGGAGGACTGAGACCAAATTAGTTTAGTTTAGGAGAATGCTGTGGATTTGTTCCTCAGATCCACTTTGGGATCTAACTATCTTAACTCCATTCAGGAATTTGCCTAATTCAAACCCAGCATTTTCTGGATTTTATGTTATTTATAAGAGAGGTGTTGTTTTTTTAAAGTACCTCAGTCTCTTCCCTTTGTTTCCAAGTTTTTGGGCTCTGGGCACACATCTCCCTCTAGCAGGATGTTAAACCCCTTCGGATTCCTTGTGTCTAGACTTGGAGTGCATGGAAATACAGTTTGTTAGAGTGCTCCAGCAGGGTTTGCTCTGATGCTTTTGTGTGCAGTGGGGTGGAACTGAGCAATGCTGCTTTACTGCTCCCCAGATCCTGCTCACTGTGGGAGAGAGACCCCAGGGATGGTGGCAGCAGGAGTGGCATCTGTACCAAACTGAACAGGGAGATCACAGAGAGAGACCCCTGGAGTACAGGTAACCCCCATTTTTAAAGTCTTTGAAAAATCCTGGCTCCTGAGGCAACAAAACCACCAGATAAAAACAGCTTTGCATTTTTTCCCCACGAGGTTTTCATAATTAAAAACGTGCCCCTCAGATACAATGTTGCCATATTCTTGTTTCAGTTCAGACTGTCCCTGGAGTCTCTGCTGGGATTCAGTGTGTTACTGATCCTCTGGGGCACAGGGTGTGGCTCCTGGGGTTATGGTCCTGTGCAGGGCTAAGGGCTGGACTCCATGATCCTTGTGGGTCCCCTCCAACTCAGCACATCCTGTGATTCTGTACTACATGGAAGGACAAAATGTCTTTTTAGATGGCAATACCAAACTCCTTACTTTTGTAGTCCAAAAATTGGATAAAACACTATTTTGACTTTTCAGATTGAAACAAATCATTTGTTCTGAATTAACATCTTCCACTTCTGTTTAGAACAGTTTGTACCAAAATTGATGTTTGACAGTCTCCAGCCTTGTCCAAGCCTGCACTTATTAACTTATTGACAGAGAACTTGCTGTGTACCTGAGTCTGAATATTCTGTTTTACCTTATGCCACTTCTGTGAGGAGCTAAAATTTCCTTGGAAGTGGCATGCAGTGGCACAAGACAGGCTGTTCTAGCTGACCTCACTGAGAGGATGTTCTCACTTACAGGGCTGGCTGCTCAAGAGTATCATCACTGTCACTGCTGACACAAAAAGCCCAGGTTTTACCCTCTCCTTGATGTCAGCAGCGAGGTAGGGCTGCTTTGCACAGAAGTAAACCAATAAGGATGTAGTGCATCACACAATTACTGAAAGATAATCTCTTTTTTCAGTGCCTTTATTAGTGACTCATGTGGTCCCAGCACAGAATACACACTGGCTTTTGATGACTTCTGTCACTGCCTCTTAAGCCTGAAGGATAATGATCCCTACAGCTCCCTCCTATCCCTCACCCAGCAGGATTCCCACTGGAGTGGGGAAGAGGTTACACAGGGAGTGTGAGGCCAGGGCCTGACAGCCCCATCTTCTACTAATGGCGGTGACCGTAGAAATAATTCATATTATATCTATGAGTGCAATGACCTAATGGTTTACTTGTTCTGTAGCATCACTTGCCACTTCAATTACAGCCAAATTGCTTGATTAAAGCAGAGGAAGAACTAAACACTAATTTCCAGGAGCTTAAGGCTATACTTTAAGAAAGAGGTAATTGAATTTTATAAAATGTTTGTATCTCCCTTTTTTTCTTTTGTAGCTTTATATCACATTGTGCTGAGCTTTTCCAGGCGGGAAAAGAGGAAAATGTCTGGTTTTCATCAGAAGCAGAGTTAGCTGGAAATTAGATTACAACAAACTGAGGGGTTTGTGGTTTGTTTTTTTTTCTTTCATTTTAATGCTGTTTCAGCTCCATGGAAAGGGATAATGGTTGCCTGTGATTCCAGCAGACACTTTGTGATAAGTAGGCATTTTGTAAGTGCTGTTAGTAAATGTAGAGTTCCAACCTGGAGCTTCATCCAGTCCTTATCTCTATATTTTAAGAATCTATTCAATGATGGGGTTTGATTTACCCTCCTCAAGCAGAATTACCAGCACAGTAAGTTGTATGGAATGGGGAGCTTTTATCTTGTTCTGTTTTTACAGGGTGTTAATATAATAATGTTCTGCCTGAGGAAGAGATTCCTGGGTGTTACTATGCCACAAATAATTAGTGAAACAGGTTCTCGCTCTGTGATAGGAAGAGCAGAGAAATACTTCAGTAAATGATTAATTGAGAAGAATTGATAGCAAAAGTTTGAGTAGAGATCCTCTGGCTGTTCTTTTTGTCCATTTACTTTGGTTTGTTGTAGATTCTCATCTTAAGTAGAAAACTACAAGAAAAAGAACATAGTGATAAACCTTTTTTGAAATTTCTTTCTCGGCTATTCCTCATGAGACACTGGCCATGGCAAATACCCTTTTTAAAACACAGGACAAGTAAAAAATTCCCTAGGACTTCAATTTCAGACATATAAATTTGTGTGCTTTGTAACTACATGTGGGCTAAAAAAAAGGTAGAAAATACTAAAGATTAGTTCTAAATTAATCCAGCACGCCCTGCATGAGGGCACAGTGGTAACCATGGTTAATATACTTTGCAGTAAGACTAAAGTGTCTTTTATCCATTGAGTTTTGGTGGGTTTTTATTGTTGGGTTTGGGGGTTTTTTCTCCTCAGAAGGGTTTGTGTTCTTTGCCCCACAAACAGGGAAAACCACATTTATAACAGTGAAAGTAAGACTCAGATCATCATGAAGTTATTTTCACAAACCCTGGCTACCTTAAATCTTCAGAAGAGGAGACCTTCAGGTTTATAGGTCAGACTGGGCTGCTTCTAAAGAATCCTTATGAGATCTTCTATTACAAAAAGGCAGGATTAGTCCGCAGACTTTTAAATATAATCTGGGAATATAATTTAGTTTGTCAGATACCATCATATTCGGGCAACTCAGTATTAATAACACCTTGTCCCATGGCACCACACTAAGAGCAAACTATGGACAGAGCTGTTTGAGTAAAAATATAATTTAAAAAAATTGAGCAGATGTTTCTGTTAGTTTTCCATGAATCCATTGTTAGAAATAGTATTTCTAGTTCTAGTATCAGGAGCTACCAGTATCCCAGTATTTATTAGCTGAATTAGTCTAATGTCTGAGGTGAAAATACAAATACTGAAATTCTGTTTTCAATTCCAAGAGAAATCCAGAATTACTCTACAAAACACATAGTTACTCTGGATTGGATTTTTTATGGCCTTTTGTACTATTTTTATGCTGGAACTTACAAAGTAGCCCAGAGGTTTAAATGTAGAAGTTTGCTTAAACTGACAAATCTCTTCCGCTTACACGTTGTGACCCGTGAGTTATCCTGGCTAAAAATACCAACTTTGCAATGCAATTGTAACTTCAAACCCTTTACGTATCACAACACGTTTTTTTAGGGACTCTTTTTAAGGAACAGATTTTGAACAGCTACTGGCTGAATTCAAGCTGTGATTTTAGTGTATCAGAGCCTCTCAATTTTAGTGTATCAAGCCAAATTTAACCCATTGGTTCACAAGCTTCAAATGATCTTGTCCCTGGCTAAAATGCCGTGGGATCTTTGCAGAGCAGATGCTCACAGTGCTGGTCTGGGGGTAATTTAGACTTTCGAAGGTTCCATCTTCAGCAGACTGGGTGAACTTGAATATCAGCTTTATCTGCTGTGGTTGTAGTTGTTATCAGTAAACCAACTTCTGTAACTTCATGAAAAACGAGTCCTCTGTTTCACATTGAAAAATACTTTCAAAGGAGCAGCTTTTGCTGTGCTTCTGGTTTATATCTTCGAATATCTTTCGGCAATAGTAGCAGGAAAGACATTGGTACAGTCTATAATAATTGCTAGAATATTTATATACAGTACCTGATAGACATTTCCCCCTCACTTTTTAATTTACAATGAGCTAATTTAGCTTTTTATTCTTTTGGAAGCATTATTGCACCATCTAAGAGCTCAGGTAGTCAAAACCAGCTGTGATTGAGATTAATCAATGTGTGCAGTTACTACCTGTGTCTCAGTATTCCTGGAATCCCAATTTAGGGAAGAGTGACCACGTGAATTAAGGAGGGGGAAAAAAAGCAGAGTAGGGAGAAGAAGAGGTGACAGAAGTATTTTTTACATAAAAAACTAACATTCTGTGTGTGAAATTAATAAATATATCATGCAATAGATCCATTTCTCCCTTCTGGCACTATTTATGTGAGTGTACTTAGATTTCTAAGCAATGAACTAATCTTTGTGACAGAGGAGCAGACTAGAATTAGCCTGCTTCTTCTCCTAGTGAAAATAATGAATATTTTATCGCTGTCATTAGAGGGAAAAATGTTAGGTCTCCCCTCAACCTCTGTCATAGCTGTCTGCATATGGAAGTGGTGAGGCTGCTGAGTAACTGGGCACTATTGGATACTCCAGAGTGCAATCCTCTGGGATGTCAGCACTCCCTCGACAGCTGGCTATTAAGAGTAAAGTTTCCAAGTCTGGTGTGTTAATCTGTCCCCTCTGAGATCAAACATTGCACCTTCTATAATAAGACTGACAACATCTTAACAGGCCAGATAGTTATCAGGGATGCTTGGAGGCACTGCTGTGTTTTGAGCTGTGTTTATGTCGGCCCGAAGCTCTTCTGAAAACAGCTGAGAAGTACAGAGATTGCAAGAAAAAGCTGTCAATCTTACTGAAGCTGGTCTTAGTTCATGGGAACGTTTTTCTAAGCTAAGCAAGCCATGACTTCAAAAAACAAGGCAGCACCAAGGAAAGGAGCCCTTGTCAAACCTGGCAGTGTAGGTCTGACCTGCTGCAGAAGCTTCAAGCCACGGTTGGTGCTTTGTAGAGTATGTACAGGTGTGGAGCCATCCAAGGGAGTGTGCCCAGTGTTCTTGCTCTTACTGCAAATCTTCCGAAAACTGGTCCTTTGATTAAAGCTTTAGCTCCTGGAGCAGGGTAGAAATGTGAGTTGATTGAAATGCAGAAGTTTTAAAAACAGAATGCAACTCCTCCCCTGCACAGTTTGTGTGTCTGGGTGTGTGTATGTGGGACTTGGAATAATTTCACAATCTGGGAGCCTTCACTCTGATCTTTTTAACATCCTGAGATGTTCAGCCATTCTGTAACTCAGTGACTGGGTGGACAATCTCTACAAGTAGGTTCTTGACTGCACACCAAATATAGGCCTTATGCAAGCGGAGGTAAATCTTCATGCATAGCTTCACAGACAGTTCACACATCCCAAAGCAGCAGATATATGTACTGCTAGTCAAAAAAATCTTTACTCAAATACATGCCTAAAGGTGCCAAAGCAGTCACATGAATGTGTATTCAGTCCCCCCAGCAAATCATGCCTCTGCACAGTCACAGGTAAGGCACCTCCCCATGTGTTGGACAAAAGCTGTGTGCCCATCAAGCCATTAAAGCACTGGCTTGGCATTCATTGCTGATAAACACACTATGAACTTGTGTCCCCATGTTTTTCCCAGTTCATTGGACTGTTCATCTGTCTGTCTGGGCTTCCTTTGTGCATAGAACAGACAGTAGAGAAGAGTTTAAATGTAGAAGTTTTCAATGATCATTTATCTTCTGAGAGGCTCAGATGTATCTCAGATGCTTCTGAGAAGTCTTTTCAGCTGGAGAATGCTTCCTAGTCACCAGTATACTGCTACAGCACACAACATGCCAACTGTGGGGCAGGAATTCACTAACAAGAGAATAGAGCAGACCTTTGTGACAATGTGGGAGGGTTTTTGCCTCCACCACATTAATGAAAACGTTACAAGAGCTGCTGAGTTCTGGCAAAGGAACACAAGTGAACTTGTAAGGCTTCCTGGCCCAAAGGAAGTGTTTGTTGCAGAAGCAGAGGTTCTGTGACAGGACACTGTCCTGACTGCTGCAGTTCCTGGGATGTTGTAGGTTTGACAAGAGGGAATCTGCTCTTAGGATTCAAGGTCTGTTCTAAATCTAATTACAGAGAAGGGTAAAGTTTGAGTGCTCTGTCCAGGAAGTGATTTCTAGAGTGTTAATTGTAAACTCAGCTGTGTTGTGAGCGTTTGTCTGTGGATACTCTGTGCAAAATGGATTTATGCACAGACTGGTCACTCCAGACTGTGAGTGCCAGTGGTGTTTATACAGTTCCTGTAGAAATGCTGATGTCATGGAGCTGCAGCAGGGCTGTGTCACTGCCTCAGAGCCACGGGCATGTCCTGGAGATGGAATTAGCAGTTGTTCCCTCGAGGACTGCGAGAGCCTGCTCTGCCCAAAGCCCTTCTGCTGCCTGAGCAAGGAGGTACCACTGCCCAGCACTGGCACTCAGACTGGCATCCTGCAAGGTTATCACTCCAATTCCCTTGCTTATCATTTGAATGTCTTTGCCAATATGAAATGAAAAGCCATTTGATGCCTGAGCCTTCTGGCTCAGTGTCTCATAGGCAATTTTAGAATTATTAGTCCTTGAGTCATTCATATTCTCTGCATTTACTGTGATGATCTCACTTCCTGCAAACAGGAGCACTGACTTGAGAGTGAATTAAAAAAAGCACCCATAAATACAGCAGAAAAAAGGTTGTTTTAACCATGTATATGCTTTGAACATTACTCAGGAAAAAGAAGTTGTTTAGAAATAAATTAAATCTTTTCTAATTTTGGTGGTTTCAGACAATTGTTGTAATATATATTTTATAAAGAATGTGATAATGAGTTTCTTTGCAGAAATATAAATAAGATCCTAAAGTAGAAGGATGTGAGAAATAAACAGTAAATGTTCAGGTATTATAGATTCATCTCCAACTAAATTAATGAGGTCTTTCATACCTTTTAGTAATTTTTTCCCACTGCTGATCCCTAAGCTTTTCCTCAAAGATTTGTTGTTACTTTATGGATGATCATGCCTCCTCCAGATCAAAATCTGTGAAAATTGAAGTGCTCTTCCAAGTCCTGTGCAAAATCAATGGAATTAATTGGTTTCTCTCATTGAGCCACTACTGAGGGAAGATTCTCACTGAAGGAAAGACTCTGCAGCTCACCATCCAGGCACTTTGGGGGGATATTAGGAAGCTCCTGTTCCACCTCTTTACCTCCACTGAGTATGAACCAAGAAGCTTTTCTCTGGTGTTGCAGCCCAGAGTGGTTTGTCCTTATCAAAAGAACTTAATCCTTTTAATCAGTTATTCTTTTTAGAGAGGCAACAGACCTCAGAATGAAGCTGGGGACAGCGCTACTCTTAGAGCAGCTGTGACTGGAGACTGTGCCAAGGTATTCTGCCATGACAGGCAATTTATAACAGTCAGCAATTTATTTTATCAAAAAATATTGAGATATGGTCTACTAGTTATAGAAGCCTTGGTGATTGAGAAATGCTGGGCTTGGAGGTTCATTTCTGCCAGACTCATTCTACGTATCAGTAGACAAGGTAGTTATGACTGAATTTAGCCGGTTTCTATTGACTTTAAGTGGATTTATGGATGAAGATCTAAATACCCTGCCTCCCTTATTGTAAAATATAATAATTTATGCCTGTCTCCTGCAATATTGCAGGACTTGTATATGCAATTTTCTCAATCTGCTTTGAGATATTTTTGAATATGCAATTATGTTATTATTCAGACTTCTGATGAGATAGTGCAAGCCTCCACAGTTCCACAAACAACAGCATTTTATATCAAATTTGAATGGATAACAGTGAAATTGAAATGAAATAATGGAATTCTTCTAGAACTTTGGGACACTTTCACATTTTGTTGCATGGTGTAATTTTTTCATCATCACAAGCCAAAGCACAATCAAATCAGCAAAAGCTTTGCCTGGCATCCTTTGGCAGACTAAAAGGTAACTCATTTTCAGATTGATTTAAATATGAGATTGAATTAGATGAGCTAAAAATATCTCTGCAGCACCACACTGGTGAAAAGCAATAAACACTTCCATGCCAGATAGTCTGGGGAAGAACGGACAGCAATCGCCGAGAAAATGATAACCAATTTTTCTGCCGTTACCATGGCAATGTAGAGACAAACACTTGTGTTTAGACTGTACAGTCCTCATGAAATACAGGTTGTCAGTTGTTTTTATAAGTCATAAACCCTTTCAACTCCATGAATACAGACCAGTTCCTAACAAGGAGAAAGAAGAAAGGGTCTGTTACGAAGGAGAGGGGAGCAGTGTCCCACCAGTCCTCAAAATAACAATGCAAAGCCATGATGGAGGCCTCATCCTAATTTAAACATCTATTTGTTTATGCTGGCACTAATGTGTTTCTTGGGTTCTTTTGTTTAGGTTTGGTGCCTCATAACCCACGTGACTGTATTCCCAAAGGATGTGGATCCAGCACTTCAGCTCCTGCACTGCTTTGGTTGTTTTGCTATGAGGAAAGACAGGGCAGCCTCTAATCCATGTTTAAAATAAGATTGTTATTTTAAGCAGCCTTTTCCTACCCCTTTTGGATCTTTGCATGCCTGAGGGATTCCCTTTGGAGTCCCAATAAATCAAACAGCAGCAGGCTTTGCTCTGCATTGGACAGCCCTGTGTTCCTGCCCCTGCTCGAGCCCTGGGAGCGGGATGGGCAGTTTGGGCTGGAGAGAGAAGCTGGGAAAATGCAGCACTGATTTCAGTTGTTTCCAAGAACGCCAGGGTAAGAATGTAAAACTGTGAAGTTTAACCTTTCTCCGTCAGCCAAGGAGAAAAACGAGACTGTCAGTCCAAAACACAGACGTGTAAATGATTTTAAACACCCTCACATACAAGAAACACATTTATCAGTTGTCACCTGAAGGTCAAACACCTGAGGTCCGTTTCCTGATCTCCTAATTAAAATGGGTCTCTTCCCATACATATTACCCTTTTGCTTTCCAATGCAGCACACAGAAAATCTGCCTTTCATAACCTGTGCACATGGCAGCATTTCTGCAAATGTACAAAAAAAGGTTGAATTTAATGGGATTATTCATCAGCCTCAATTAATCACAGATTTGCTGTATCAAAGCCAATGTCCCTAATCCAAGGGAATTACCCAGAGTAGATTTAAGATTGCACAAAGTAGATTTAGGATTGCATGAGAATCTCATTCATCTGAGTTGAATGATCTTGAATACCAGGATCTCCTGAATTACCTTGGAAATGAGCTGAGGATAACTCACATTCAGGAGCTCTGGAAGGAAAGTGGCACCTGGAACTACCAGGGTGTTTTCCATAATTGCAATTTCCATTGTTGCTAAGCCACAATTTCCTAGAGACTGATTCCCCAAATCTTTGACTTGCACATTTAGATGATAATTGCTGACCAGGGATGTGTCTGACACAGAGCTGTCTGCAATAAGGAAAACTTATCGAAGACATTTATAATTCTTTTGCAAAAGCATGACAGCTGGTCTAGGAACATGAAATTAAGCTTCATTCCTTTTTAATTGCTGCTCAAGAATGACAGCAGCTACAGGGATATTTCTGTATTCTTGGTTTTGTGTATTTTTCTGTGTTTCTTTACTGATGGCCCACTTCAGTTTGTTACTGCCAGTGGTAGTAAGGTGGTGAGCTGGCTACAAGGGGAGAATTTGGGGTGCTGCTGGGGCAGTTCTGTACCATATTCTCCACGATATCTTTGTGTCCTTCAGATGCTTGCAATGATTGCACTGATCATTCACTGGGTCTTCATTTTAAGATCTTCATTTTAAGGTGCCTGCAGCACCGAGAGAGGTGCCAGGAGAGAGGAGCACAGCTTTTGGGCTCTGAGGAGGCTGCTCTGCTGAGGGACAGATGAAGGAGTCTTTAGGCAGATGAGAGACAACCACCTAGATATCACACTGATCCTGCTCTGGGCAGTGCTGTGGCCTCTGTTCACCATCACTGATCTGAGTGAACACTTGTTTTCATGACAATATGACTGCACAGCACACAGCACAGGACACCCCTCTGGTACTGCAGGCAGGCAGGGGGAAGAGCTTTCAGAATCTGAATTGAGGAAGGTCCCCAATCCCATTTTCAGTAGAGGCACTCATTTAGGCAAGTTAACAGAGGTGCCCCAGCTCCTAAATGCTCAGACACCAGGCACCCTGATGTGCCTGGTGTGCCAGTGTGCTGGGCATTGCTAAGGCTGGGCAGAGATGATGTCAAGCTGACTCATGCTTCCTCGAGGGGGACAGTCTCAGACCCCTGAACTCCTGCAATTTGTCACTGCTGCCTCCCACCTTTCGCCCTGCCTGGCTTCTCTGGAAGCCCTTCCCAAAGTGCTGGACCTTTCCTCCAGTTCCAAACTTTGCTGGGTTCCCTTCGTGCCTCCTCTGCACCAGTCATCTCATCGGCTGCAGTCAGGGCTGGCAGGTGTGGGAGGGCATGTAGGGCTTTGGCTCAAATTAAAGGACCCTGACAGGGGGATAGAGATTTATCTCTGAATGTTCTTCCCTCCTACATTTGTGTGTGGAGCTGGTGATGCAGCTTTCTGCAATGCTTCTGTAGTGACTAATACCTGAAAGCCACAGAAATTTCCCCGAACTCTTGAATGAGGGAAGATGTGCCCTTCTGTTACCACGAGGGAGGCAGAGGATGCTTTTGCTTTTGTATCAGAGGGTGAGATTTATACCAGGTTGCTGTGTCAGTACAGAAGTTACAGCAGCCAGGAGGGAGAAGTTTTGAAAGCCTGATATTTTTCAATGTGTTTACCCAAAACAGAGTTACAGAGATGATGTGTTTCACTGTTAAACTGTTCCTGGAACAAAGGAAATCCAAGGAATGACAGCTGCATTTTAGACATCAGAGGAGTAATATTAGAAGACTGGGAAAAAAATCTGATTTTATCTGAAGCTTTCCTTTTGGTATTTGTTGCTTAATTTGACACACATGTTCAGTGGCAGTTTAGTTAGAGTAGCCTTCATATAATCTAAGAAACTAATTGTCCAGATTGGTCATTGTTTCTGAGTGTTATTCTAACCTTAGCCTTTACCTAAAGCACATACAAGGATCTTAAGTGATGGCCATCAGCTTTTTTTCCACTGGCAAAAACTCTTTTTGCAGTTCCATGAAAACACTTAAATTAGTGCCTCAGCCTTGGGATTTTTTTTTAAGTGCTCTTCCTATTATGGGGATGAGCCTTGCATAGCATATGGAAATGTAAAAATAAGAGAAAAATACACTGAGGAGCAGTTTACAGACTGGAATTTTTAATTTCATCATTAAATAATGGCAGTTTTCTATGCTCTTGCATAAATAATATGGAGACATAAGCAGGAATGCACCTCTGTGTGCTGCTGTAACACAATGCAGAGATGCACATTTAAACAGAGCATTGTGATCTGTGTTAGCTTATAAAAGATGAGATTGCTCTGCCTTCCCAATTCATTCCAGTATTGCTTTTGAGTTGCCACGTTCTACTGTTATATTCCAGGAGACTTTTCTCTGTGTAAAATGTCATTTGCAAAATGTCCCAGGAAGGAGAATCTATTACAGAACCAGCCCCTTGCAGCCCAAGCCAAAATATTAATTCTTCATGTGATATAAATGTAATCAAAAACTTCTCAGGCTGGATATTTTGTTTTGGGGGAGAAGATATTTAACCTTTGTAGTTCTCTTTTGCTACATTTGACATTATTGTAGTTTTTTTACAGGAAAGTAATTTTTCTCTAAGTATTTTTGCTCCCTTTCCCTCTCTTTTCTTTCCCACTGATACAAAATAATATCCAGTTTGTTGACACAATTCCAAGTTATGGGGCTAAAAAAATCCTTATAGATTTATTTAATCCCCATCCCATACATCTATCTTTTAAGTGCACTTTCCGAAAACTTTTATAGCTGTTATGTTATTATGGATTTAGACTTCTGAGACTCTCATCCAGCACACAATGACTGCAGGCACACAAAGTGAACTTCAAAAAGACCCTTCACTGCACTGCAAAAAAACCTAGTCCAAGCAGTCATTATTGCTGATGCACTGCGTGGGTGTGCACAAACCATCAGGCAGTGCTTTTCAGGCATAAAACTTTGCACATTCTCAGCTGTGCTTTATAATCTGCAGATTCAGACAAAATCTACCATTAAATAAAACTTATTGGATTCTATTGACAAAAGAAGGGAGGGTGGGAGTCATCAGGAGCAGCATCATCTGGGGGTAGGTGCCCTGGGATGCAATCTGATAGAAAGCTTTCTGCCTGGAGTCACAGCAGATCTCAGTTTGGCATCAGGAAGTGCCACTCAGTGAGTCATGCCAAGGTATTGTATTCCTCCTGCTTTGGTAATTTAAAATAAGAACCAAAAACCTGATGGAAAATTTTCCATCCCCTATGAGCAAAGGGCTTTCTTTTCACACAAACCCAAGGAGTTCTGTGATATGACAGCTGCTGTGCTGTGTGCTCTTGTTTCTCTGCTATGTATTAATTTGGTTATCCAGGGTTTTATCACTGCAGTGGTGTAGGGAGGTCAGGCATTTTTCTTTTTGTGGTAGCAGCACCTAAACAACTCTCAAAACCTAAAGCTTACCCCTTACTCTAAAAGAGACAGTATATCCTTGAACCTCTAAAAACATTCCTTTGTTTAGTTCACATGCTTGTCTGTGTTCTACACAGTCTCAAAATAGATAACTGACTTCTGTTTCCCAAAGCTTAAGGTCTATAATTGTTCCAACACTTCAAAACAAAACAAGACAGAGCTACCCAGCTGTATCTTACCTTCTACAGATAAATAGCCCATGTCCTTGAATCCTCTGGAACATATGCTCTGAAGGGTGACTTGGAGTCTGGGGGAGGATTTTATTCTGTAAGTCAGCATTTGGAGTGGAAGAGAGTCGTGGTTTAACCCCAGAACAGGCACCACACAGTTGCTTGTTCACTCCACCCCCTGCCCTGCAGTGAGAGAGGGAAGAGAATTGGTGAAAAAAGTAAACCTTGTGGGTTGATAGAGACAAATTAATAAGCCAGGAAATGAAGAGAAAATAATGATGATGATACAAGAATATACAGAATAAGTGATGGACAATACAATTGCTCCCCACCCCTGAGCACTGCTCAGTCAGTGCCCAGGCAGAGTCCTGCCCCACAGGCACCTCCCCCGGCTCATGTGCTGAGTGTGACATGCTGAGCTCTGGAATATCCCTGTGGCCAGTTCAGCTCAGCTCTCCTGGCCCTGCTCCCTCCCAGCTTCTCGTGCTCCTGCTCCCTGGCAGAGCAGGGGAAACCGGCAAGTCCTTGACTCAGAGTGAGCAGTACTTAGCAACCAACTAAAATATCAGTGTGTTATCAGCATTATTCTCTTACTGAATTCAAAACACAGCATTGGACCAGCTACTGAGAAGAAAATTAACTCTATCCCAGCCAAAAGCAGGACAAAGGGTCACCCAAGTCAGTGGCATAGCCAGGCAAAAAGGACCCTGCAGGCTGAAGGGCTGCAGATTGGCTTTGGTGGCACAGGAATTTATCTAAAACCCAGTGGGGTTCAACATGACAAATACTTCTTATACACATTTGTTTTCGTAGTGAGCATCTGACTATGCTGAAAACACTAAATGCACTGTATTTAGAGACATTTGGTGTGACAGTTTGGTAGTTTTTCAGGGGAAAGAGAAGCAGCGTGTACCTTCCCATCACTCCTGTTTTCAAGCTGATCCTGCATTTGCTGCCTGTTTAATGGTTTCTTTTCTTAAACTCACATCCTTTAGGTTTTTAAATCCTAGGGCTGCCTCAGATACCTGCTGTAAATGAGAGATGCCAGCAAGAACAAACTGATAGCACCTTTTCTGAGGCATTCAAAGGCCTTAGAATATTTAACAGCCCCATTTTGCAGGCTCAAAGGTTCCAGCTCTTAAAGTATTTGTTGCCTTTCTCACTAACCCATCTGCTGACAGTTTTGATTAGGCTACTGGAGGAACAGCAAGTTTTTCTCATTGCACAGAAACCCTCTAAAGTATAGCCTGAGGCTTTAGGTACAGGTGGTTCTCTCCAGTTATTGCTTTTTAAACCCTTCAGTTCAGCAGCCAGGGATGTTTCTTACAGCCTGTTTTTGCATTATGTTTCTGTCTTGGAAGCACATGGAGAATGCACAGACAGCTCCTTGCTGGTTTTGTTCTTAAACTGTCAGACAGAAAGCTTAACCTGAGAATTTGGGGTCAAAGAACTTGTGTGTTATGCCTGTATGTGTGATGTGTGGAAGGAACTCCACAGTAAGAACATACACTGAGGGAGAGAGTCTTCAGACATCTGTGTGTGTCCCCTTGGGTCAGCTCAATCTCCTGGTGACAGCCTTGCCAAAACTGCAAAATCAAAACCAAAGGCAGTGCTTTGTACCAATGATGGAAATGTTCTGTGATCATCTGTCCCACCTCACTTGGGGTGGAGCACTTCCCCCTGGATCCTGGTGTTTGCCCTGCACTGAGATCAGTCACGGCACCAGAAACGCAGCGAGAGCTCAAACGTCAGTTTGGTCACCAGGGGTGTCCTCAGGGATGGCAACGCTTCTAAAATGTTTGTCTTGTAACATCTGGGGTGAGTGAAACCCAGTTCTTTGGTCTCTCCAGCAGAAGTGTGAAGGAGGCAACAAATGGACGTGCTGCTCAGAGAGACCGTGGCCTTGCTGGTTGAACTGGGGGAGTTTCCCTGATGGGAAATGAGCATTTTTCTCTTTCTATGTTTTGATCCAGTTCTGGTCACTTTTCCAAAATTATACATTGAAGTCAACAGCTCAATTTTCACATTTGCATTAAAAAGCTGTTAAGGAGCTTTAGTGTTCCACAGCAGAAGTAGCTGCTCTATGGCCCAAACCCAGCCAAACTCTGCCTCTGTTTATATGCCAGTGTCAGTGGGATTTTCTGGACGTGGTGGACAATTTTCATCTGTTTGTGGATTATGCAATCAGGCAGCATTTGCTAAATGCAAATTGAATGGTGCTGTTGGAATCGTATGGTTTGACACAGGACCTACCTGGGCAAAAACGTGCCTCTTCTTATGAGGGGCAGTGCAGGTCCAACAGCATTTTGCAGAATTGTCCTGGGCAGTCAGCATGAATAAAGCATCTAACTCAAGACAAAGTATTTTCGTTAACATTAAAGTGGAGACAGGCCATGTAAAGGTTAGTACTGGGAGCAGCAGTAATGTTTAGAAATTAGCTTTCAGAAAACACAGTTACATGAAATGTCAGCAATGGAGCACCATGGATTGGAGCACTACATTTCTCCACCTATTTTTAATTTGTTCTCAAGACTTTTTGTTCCAGATTGGAGCAAATGACAAGTACCCATTAAAACTCATTTACCCTTCACACTATGAATCCTTTAGCTGCTGTGGCAGGAAGTAACTTTTGCCTCTCTTGCAAACATATGGAAATGCACAGCAAACCTTTTACAAGGTCTACAATATAACAACTATTGCTGTTAAAAGCCACCCTCTGAGGCAAAATAACGGAAACCAGTGTGACCAGTGCAACCTAAAAGAATATATTGAGGAAATCATCATGCTGAAGACAACTAAGTATTTCAGACAGAAAAAAAGTTCTTGTGATTAATCAAGGATTACGCCTCATTTCCATCATTTCCATAATAAGCCAGAGCTCAGTGGAGTTACTCCTGATTTATAACAAAGTGAGAGGAATATAGTAAGTCTCAAACAGGTCATATTCTCTGCTGATTTCTACCCCCCATCATGACTGCCTGACATCTCTGCTGGCTTTAAAATACTTCTCGTTTCATGTAGAAGCTTTTTATACCATTTGTACTTGCTGTGTAGGGGAGAGGAAAATTAATTGCAGTCTAAATTAAATCCCTTTGGCATGCATTTAGATATGACTAAGAGGACTTCTAAAAATATTTTAACTAACATGCTTTAAAAGTATATTGTGGGGGGAAAAAAAGAACATTTTAATATATGTTTGCAGGTAAAGGTGAGCTGTAGACTGAGTGTGCCTTTACAGTGTCAGCTCAAGAAAATAGTGTATTATCTTGTCTGTCACCACTCCAGTCTTTGACAATGTCCACAGTGTGCTACCTAAGATGGTGTAAAACCACTTCTTGTCCTTTGTGGCCCACACACACATTCTTCTGTGCTGCAAACACTGCTGGCAAGTAAAACGTGATGCACCTGCTTTTGCTCCTTTTGGCCATTAACAGACCACAAGCAGATCCAGAGCTAATTTAACAGCCCCTTTTACTGGGAATGTGGACAAATCCCTTCAGTTTAACTCTCTGGAACGTTTCCAAAAGATGAGTGGCGTGCCCTTTGGGAGAATCAGAGCTTGTGCTGAAACAGTGAACACAAAGGACCTCATCAGATTCCAGGAGTCTTAGTTTGAGGTGTCTCAGAACAGTGTGAGCACAGGAACCAAGGGCAAGGTACACCTGGGCCAGGGCAACCCCACTGTCAGCACAAGCTGGGGGATGGAAGGACTGAGAGCAACCCTGTGGAGTTGGGGGTGCTGGTGGGTGAGAAGCTCAGCATGACCTGGTGATGTGCATTTGCAGCCTGGAAAGCCAGAAATGTCCTGGGCTGATCCCACAGCAGGAGGGGAGAGGGGGATTCTGCCCCTCTGCCCCCTCGGGTGAGACCCCACGTGCAGAGCTGCCTCCAGCCCTGGGGAACAGCACAGGAAATATGGGAACCTGTTGGATTGGGTCCAGAAGAGGGCTACAGACTTTTCAGTAGGGCCAGTGGTGATAGGACAAGGGGCAATGGTTTCAGACTAAAAGAGGGTAGAAACTTTTCACAGTGAAGGTGGTGAAACACCTGCACAGGTTGCCCAGAGAGGTGGTGGAAACATCCCTGGAAACACTGAAGGTCAGGCTGGATGGAGCTCTGAGCCCCCTGATCTCACTGAAGATGTCCCTGCTCAGTGCAGGGGGCTGGACTTGGTGACCTTTAAAGGTCCCTTCCAACTCAAATCACTCGATTCTATGAATTCCCTCTGTTGCAAAACTGAGACATACAGAGGGTTTGGCCCTTAGTTACCATTCCTTGCCATCTTAATGCTCACCCCAAGATGGATAATTTTCTTTCTATTTCTGACTTATGTCCTGAAGTTTTAGACTTCTTTTTTCCCCATTTTTTCTGATATTTTAACATAAAGGCTTAGGTACTCTAGGGTCTTAAAACACCAGCCTAACAAGGTTAAACTATCTGACCCTATATGAACGTCCCAAAATCACCCCTATTTCCATATGAAAATACTGTCTCCTTTTGACTTCACATTTGGCTAAGCAATAACATTCACTCTGCAAAAATATGTTGGGAAGTTTATCTGTAGAACTAATGATAGAACAGACCATGTTTCTAAAATAGTCTCCTTTTAGCCTGCTTATCTCTTCCCTGACATTTCTTACTGAGCATCAGTGAGCAGCAGCTTTGTACTGACATCTGAAAGCAAGTCTCCAGCAGCAGTATGCAAAAGGCTATGGAACAAGCAGTCACATGGTTTCTATATTTTCTCTCTTTGTTTACTGTGTTCATAATGCCAAATGGCAAATTAAAAGAATGCCCTAATCCCAAAGAGTAAGGCATGGTATTTCTCCTTCCCACATGGATGGTTGTGATTATCTTTGGGGAGGGCGGGGGGTTTAGACTTGCCTTTTTTTTTTTTTGATGTTAGGTTCTGGGTTTCTTTCTGGGAGAACAAATAATTTCTGAACTGTTTGGTATAAACACTATGTAATTTATAAATATTGAATTATTTCAATGAAATGTTTGACTAAATTTACAAAGATTATCAAATGTGATCTGTAAAACCTCAGGCTTTGAAAGCGGGAGGCACAGGAATGTGCCTTTTTAGAAAGAAGCTGGGAAGGTAGGTGTTACTTTGCTATACATGTTAAGAACTGCAGAAAAGAAAGATATCTTTGGTCAACGCTGGCATATTGCA